AGCAAATATATGGCTGTTTTCATCTGGGTTTGCTATTAAGTCATCGACACGAAATACAACAGGAGAAAGATTAAGACCTTGTGGGAGTCTGTTCCAACCATTGTGTAATCAATGGTTAACGAGTTCGTTTGCCCATAAAATCTTTAGGATATTAGGTTAAACTTATTTGGCTTGCTGTCCACTGGAGAGGGGCTCGATGAAGCAGCTTCAACTCGAGCTCTGATATACCCCCCAGTGGCTTAATGTAAGACCTGTCAATTAAAGGGCAAGGTACCTAAGATAAAGGTGGAGTTTTTGGGGAGGTGGAGGGATACTGGAACAGCTGATACTAGGGAGAGGTAAGCGGCTGCTTATATACTTTGGTTGTTGATTGAAAGATTGGATGGGCTCGCTCCTCCCTAACTTACGTTTAGTAACTTCATTTAATCTCCACAGGAGTTGTCCGATTTCTTGACAGGCCAGACAGGACTATTAGTGGTAGATGAAGTTTGTCTGATGATTCCTTCAGCTTCCAAGTCTGTCACTATCTCTTCCACGGCTTGTCTTGCTTCAGGTCGGATGGGGTATCGGTTATGAGGGGCATGAATTGGTCCCTCAATAACAATGGGATCAATGTTGGCTTTACCACAATCCAATTTGTGTTTAGCCCAAACATCTGGGGCCAGTTGTTGAAAACATTTAATCTGGATCAAAATGATCCGGATTTGGAAATCCCATTTTTTCCTATCCAGGATCAGGTAATCCGTCTTACTTTTATGCCGGTTTTTCAAAGCAACATTGGACTGGATCACCCTGATCCAGATACACAGTTTTCAAGATTACCAAATCCGGATTACCAGTGCTCTAAATGGGACAACATATCACAATGTGGGCTACCAGCTATGTAAAGAACAGGTAGAAGAGCCAACACGGGGTTACTGTAAGTGTTTCTTATTTTGAGACAAAACACAAATGGCGACACGATCACTTTAATTTTATTTTTACTTTACTACTGAATAGCTTAATTGTTAGCCTATGTCTAATTTATCACTGTTACAACGGTTACACAAGTCAAGTACAAAATATAAATAAAAGTATACACACTAAATGATAAAAATGTATTATTTGACCAATTTTAAAGTTTTACTACATTTTCTTCCTGAAATCCATCTTGAAATCCTTCCCCCTGTTGGGATCAGTATAATCCTGTTTTTTTGGATCAAAGTTATCCAAATCCCACTGACGAAGTTTTGAACAACACAAACTGAAGGTTTGATCCAGATTAAAAGTAGGATTGGATTCCCTGATCTAATCTGATTTCAGATTCCTTCTTTCCCTTTTGAACAACCCATTTTCAAGATTTGATCCAATCCGATAACCAAAATCCGATCAGCTTACCTTTGGGACATAAACAGCACAGAAGACCCCACACACCATCTTTTTTCCAGTTTCTGATAATTGGTTTTGCTGTACCAACAGACCTTAGATTACATGTGCGATATTCATGTGGTATTATCCCAGGTGTTGTGGCGATATGATGACTGTCAGTGAATATGATCATGTTCAACAATGGAAGAATGTCCATGCCAATAAGGCTTCCTCGTGAATTCGGCCCCACCCCAAAAAGATGTCCATAAGACTTCATCTTCATGTATTTGCAGAGGAACTTGAATACTTTTGCGAAACTTTGCGATACCTCTTCAACTTCCATAGTCTCATCTGTTGTAGGTAGGTTCAAATCTGTAATTGAAATTGACACTCCTGTGTCAACCAGGACATGGGTGGCCCCCTATTAATGCATTGACGAAAAGGCGATTGTCTCATTTCTTACTAATACAGGGGACCGCTGATTCCTATTGCGGACGCATAATTCCCTCAATGAGCTGACGGACTTCAGTCCATGTCTTCCCTTGAGAATTGTCATCATGGTCTTTTGTACTGACCTGATGGACCTTGACCTTCTCCACCTCCTTTAGCCCAGCAATCTCGTCTAACGTGTCCACATTTTCCATAGTTGCCGCAGGAAACCATCCTATTCTTTGTGTCCTTGTTGTATTGAGTTGTCGCCACTGCTCTTCGATATGGCTTGTTTCTTTCTTCTATGTTTGACCTCATAGCCGTCTCCAAATGGCCAGCTCAGTGCATAATTTGGTCAAATGTCTCACCTTAGCTCAAGCTTAGCTTGTTTCTTATTTTTCTTTTCTAAATACCATGCAGATATTGTTCAGCTGTTAAAACCAGCTGTTTCTGTCATCTTGCAAAGTATTTGTCACTCTGTGACTGTGCACTCAAACAGCAGGGCTATTTATGGGAGTGTGTGTGTGTGTGTGTGTGTGTGTGTGTGTGTGTGTTGGGTGAATAACTACGTGAATTCCAGGGAGGCCCTCTGCTTCCCTCTCTCTCTCCCTTTTCACCTGCTCTAATTACTCAAAGAACCAAGAAGGGGGAAAAATGTTAACTCTAATAATTTGTTTTCTTTGTTTGCTTTAATTCTTTTATTTTATTTGAAGTTGCTCTCAGATCAGTCTCTTCCTCTCAACACTGAACAGCTTTATTGTCAAAATCAGGATTCACACAATTCTAGCTCCTATTTCCATTTATCCCCTTCTTTTAAGGGTTCAATCCACTTTGTGTTTAAAAGTATGTCTAAATATGGTACTGTACATCCTATAGCACAGACCCGCCACTTTAAACACCACTTTGACACACTATCCTCATTTTCTAAAACCATTCTTCTGTGTGTTGGAAATATTTTAGAGATTAATCTGCCAGCGTTTTTTTTACAGTCTTACCATTTTCCAATCACCTCCCAGTCATGTCAAGCGAATTGCTAAATTGTTTTACTGCTATTCCAATATTTGACTAATTGGTCTTTTTTTCTAAAAAAAAATCCACTTTCCTAAATTCTTTTAAAAAAATGAAAAGACTCCCCCAGCATCATCCGATATTTCAGAGTTATTTAATCAAATTATTTTCCTTTTATTGCCACATATATTCATTGGCAAAACAACTGGTAAACAACACACTTCTTTTAAGCAGTTTCAGTCAATGTCTAATCATCAGGCAGACTTAGAATTATTTTTAGAGTAGAAAAAGTCTTACCTTGAATGATTGAGACAAATGCCTGAAGATGCAATCCTATAATCCTAATGTAGACTTGGAATTAAAGCCTCTTGTTTCCCCGTTATTATTCAATTTACGGGACCGGACACCACTAATCTTGCCAAGAAAGGTTTTTATTTATATATGTCAGGAGAGAAACTTCAAGATGTTGTATTCATGCCAGGTCTATGCGTTTCCGTGTTTCTGTTTCCTCTCACCCGGTCATGCCTACATGTTTCTCTACAGGCAGTACAGTAACATTGAGCTTTATACTGTACATCACTGATAACCTTCCAGCTTGCTTTGCTTTGAGCTTCTCAACTTAGAACGTATATGTCATACGATTATACGTCAGAATCCACTTCCATTTTAAGACCTATGCTTGTTACATTGCACACATACCTCTAAGCAATATATAGCTTTCCCCTGACACGTGTTCTCTTCTCATGCATTCAGACTCATGCTTTTGAATCTCCTTAAGATAATACACTGAATATGAATATTAATAAAGAACAATAATACAGATACATAATAATAATCTCCGATAAAATCTCCGAGTCACGCATTGAATCAATGGTCTCTAATATTGGTCTGTAAGTTAAAGATAATTAACACCTGGTAGGGCTGTTGGAACGAATTCCTAAAATTCGAATATAATTTGAATATTAAAAAAATCAATACTATTCAAATGCTAAAGTTACTATTCGAATATTGCTTTTATATATATTTAAAAATAAATACATACTTCCGAAGTGACCAGGTGTAAACGGCCCCTTATCGCTTTCTTATTAACAATAGGAGAGCGCGGGACTAGCTTTCGCGCGGCACATTCGCAAGGTCTCGTTCACTCCCTCTCTGCCATGCACGCGCTGCGCGCTATGTATGTTACGCGCGGATTCCGGGAGATTTTAACTAATTTCCGGCCATCAGGGAGACGCTATCAATATGCGGGAGACTCCCGGAACTTTCGACTCGATATGACGATCACCTCAGATCTGAGCCCCTATTCATCAAGCCAACGCGCCGCTATCTATCGCAAATCAAAGTAAAAAGTAAGTCGCAGACGCTTAACACTACCATCTTCATTAAAAGTAAGTTAAAGGAATGAAATGAAATTACGAGGGCTGTTGCAAATCTCCTTTATTGCTGTCTTTGCTGATTTTGAAATTAGCCAATGATCAATAAAATGCAGCTCATATCTATTGCTTTCCGTGCACTTCATTACATCTGTATATAGCGCGGGAATTGAAGATCGGATTTTTATCTGTTTCGCAAAAACACATTTATGTGACCAGGTATAAATGGAATCGTTTTGATAAATCAGAGCTATCCGATCTGAGAAAATGCATGAAGTGGCCAGGTATAAACAGCCCCTAAATGTTTATTGTAGTAATGTTAGATGTCCCTCTAGTGGGCCAAACGTGTAACAACAACCACAGGCTATAGTTGCATTGACGATCCATAAGAATGTGTAATGTTGTAAATATTTATAATAGGATAAATTTGAGCATTTAATATTCGAATATTAAATGAAATAAGGAATGGAATTCAAATAGTATTATAGAGGAAGATTGATAGCCCTAACACCTGGTTTCATTACATCTCTTTTAATGAATCAGCTCTGGGTGGGGGGGGGGGGGGTTAGTTGACTGGATTGTTGACGGGGGCGGGGGAGACGCACACATGCAAGGTCTCCCTCTCTACCGTGCTCTCTCACCTTAATTTTCTCCTCACATTCATTAAATCACGATGTATTGTAGATCAACAGCTAGATCAATGAGTATAGAAGTGCTATTATTATAATTACCTGATCCGAAGAGAGATCCACATTGTTTGTGCAGAGGAAGCCAAGAAAATGAAAAATCAGCTGTCTTCAGCTGCTTGTTGATGATGACAAAATCAACACAATGCAAGCATTAAACGGCATTTAAACTTTTGTTTTTATATCTGAGTATTTGGATCAGTAACTTTAAAATAATCACTGTGTACAAAATATTTCAAAAAGTGAATCACATAGTCACACACAGATATCAAGATTTTGGATATGAATCACAACAATGGTGACAACCAAAACAAAAAAGCTTGGGAATCAAGGGTGTTTCGTACTATGAAAGCAACCCATCATGCATTCCAGCATGAAACTTATTTTTAATTTATTGTCACCATTGTTGCAAATCATATGCAAAATCTTGATGTCTGTGTGTGATTATATGGTACATTTTCTCAAAACGTTGTGTAAACTTGCTTTTTGTCCACCCTCCATGCAACTAGCCCAAATAAAAAAATCACGTGAAATATTCTGTTTTGAGGGGAAAAGCCTTTCATCACAATATTGTGGTTGTCCAAACAATTAGAAACAGAACTTCATTAATTGAGAGACAATATGTTATGTTTACATGACGGGTAGACTACTGTTATTTTAAGGGCTTGACACAAATTTCATGATAAGCTTGCAATTTTATTTAATTTTTGTCAATATCGAACACCGCTAATCTATAACACAAGCACTTGATCATTATCTATCGCTAAGACAAAGACAAAAATCGCTTTTATAAAGAGATAAAATAAGACAATCTTGATGATTCAATTGATGAGTAGTTCGTAGAAGTCTTCAAGATCACAAAATAAAATTGTCACAACGCCCACCCATACAATCTGTCCTGCCCCTCATCATGGCTGTCAGGAAACTAATTGGTTTCTCCACTAGGTGGTTTTTCCACTGTGTGGATCTTCATGTGTATCTTCAGCTGATTTTTATAAGAGAAACTCTTTCCACACTGATCACACGTGTGCGGCTTCTCTCTGCTGTGGATCATCTCATGTGTTTTCAGATTTGATGACTGACTGAATCTCTTGTCGCAGTGTGAACACTTGTAAGGTTTTTCTCCAGTGTGGATCCTCTGGTGCAGTTTTAAATGTTCAGCTTTAATAAAAGTCTTCTCACACTCAAAGCACATGTACTCTCTCACACCAGTGTGTATTTTCTGATGTTGTTGTAAATGTTGCAGCCGTGAAAAACTCTTTCCACACACAGAACATGAATACGGCTTCTCCTTCGTATGAACTCTCAGGTGTTTCTTCAGGTCTGATGACCAAAGAAATGTTTTGCCGCAGTGATCACATGAGAACGGCTTCTCTCCGGTGTGGGTCTTCATGTGAGCATTAAGATTTTGTCTGTGAGCGAATCTCTTTTCACACCAATTACACATATACTGCTTCTCTCCAGTATGAACTCTCATGTGAATATCAAGAAATGGTTTTTGTGCGAAACTCTTCCCACATTGATCACATGTGAACGGCTTCTCTCCAGTGTGAATTCTCATGTGAAGCCTAAGATTTTGTTTGTTTGAGAATCTCTTTTCACACTGATCACACATGAACGGCTTTTCTCCAGTGTGGATCCTTGTGTGACTCTTAAGGTGTCCTGCATAACAGAAACTCTTTCCACATTTATCACATTCGTACGGCTTCTCTCCAGTGTGGACTTTCATGTGTCTTTTAAGTTTATTGGAATTCACGAAACTCTTCTCGCACTGATCACATGCGAACGGTCTCACTCCGGTGTGAACCCTCAGGTGAAGATCAAGATTTTGTTTTTTTGAGAATCTCTTGTCACACTGATCACACATGAACGGCTTTTCTCCCGTGTGGATCATCATGTGACTCTTAAGCTGTGGTGAATTCGTGAACGTCTTCTCACATTTATCGCATGCGTACGGCTTCTCTCCAGTGTGGATCCTCATGTGAATCTTAAAGTGTATTTTTTGTGTGAAACACTTCTCGCACTGATCGCAGGTGAACGGCTTCACTTCAGAGTGAGCTCTCATGTGAACATCAAGACTTCGTTTGTATGCAAAACTCTTCCCGCACTGATCACATGTGTATGGTTTCTCTCCGGTGTGGATCCTCATGTGTTCCTGAAGACATACTTTGGCTGCGAAGCTTGTCCCACATTGATCACATTCATGCGGTTTCTCTCCGGTGTGGATCATCATGTGTTGCTTAAGATTTGTTTTTTGTCTGAAGCTCCGTCCACATTGATCACAAGAGAACGGCTTCTCTCCGGTGTGGATCCTCATATGAGTCTCTAGACTATATTTGGTTGTGATACTCTTCCCACACTGAGTGCAGGTGAAAGATTTCTTGGCTCTTCTCTTCTTTAAAAATGTCTTTTTAGTCTTTGAGCGACTCAAAGGTTTTTCTCCAGGTTGGACATGATGTTCCTCCTCCTCTTCACTCAGTTCTTCTTTCTCATCGCTCTCCTCCATCAGGTCTGACAGGAAATAAAAATATGAATTAAATTTTCAGTAGATCAAAATAATTCAAATAGAGAAATATGAAGTGAAAGGACATACAAGTGAGCTCTGATGTAATAGTCAACTGCTATAAAATACTACAATAATTTTTATCAAATAAGTATCTTTCCATGAATGTGCAGCAATACACAAATCATAATCATAAACAATGACGGGTTAGTGAATGGTGACATGAGAAGTACAAAAGATCACAGGATCAATAACATTCTCTGCTTTGCCCGCCCGGAGAATTTTGTTATTGTTCTTAATAAAAAATCATCAAAATTATATATTTAAAATTGTATATACAATTATTTATTTATTTTTCCCAAAATAAGTGGTGTTGTATAAGCAGAACAGCAGTGTTTGAACTGAATCGCATCATGGAGCAACAATACAGTGCATTACAGTGAAGTTATTGAATATTTTCCATGAATAAAAATCATAACATTATGCAAAAACACTTGTATAAGTTACCAAAATAAATGTTGTATAACCATCAAGACAGCAGTGGTGTATTGTAGATTTAAAAATTCGGTAACACTTTACAATTCGGGTGCACTAATAAGCATTAATTCATGCTTAACTAATGCACAGATAATACTGAATTAATGTGTTACAAACGATTATTTGAGCTATTCATTAATGATTACCACATTAGGAACTAATTACGAGTATGTAAGGTTAATGTATTAGTTCATACATGAATTGTTATTAATTAAATATGTAATTGTGGATTAATTCCATAATAACTCATTTTTTTAACTAATGGTGTCAATTAATATGTTAATTACCAGAATGAGCCAAAGCCTTGTATTTCAACTTCCAGATAATATGACAGGTACACTAATATGCATTAATACATGATTAATTACTTCATTGTTCATGTGCAAATTATGACAATTACTAAATGACTAGTTAATAATGATGTGCCCCAACAAGTAAAGTCATAACATAATGATACCTTTGCAAATCGTCAGCTAATGATTAATTAAAGCAGACAACTGGAAGTTGAAGTGCATAGCTTTGACTAATTGTGGTAATTAACACATTCATTTACACTATCAGTTAACAAAAAATATGTTATTAAGGAATTAATACACAATGGCACATTGAATTAATAGAAATTTGTGTTTTACTTAATCTATTAATCATATAGACTCTTTATTAGTTGCTGATGCAGTAATCATTAATTAATGGTTTAGTTCTTCATGAGTTATACATTAACTCATGATTATCTGTGCATTAGTTAAGCATGAATTAATGCATATTAGTGCACCCGTATTGTAAAGTGTTACCAAAAATTCTGCTTTCCCCTTGTTGTTGATTAATTTCATGAAAAGACAGTGATTTTACCAAGAGATCTCTCGTATTTATTTATAATTTTTAGAAGGTGGAAGAGATAGACAAACAGAGGTCTTCATTCTGCATCGTTGTCATCTCTTCCTGCTTTTCAGACAAAAGGGCTCAGATTTTCTACTACTGACCAAGGAAAACAACTGCATCACTATACATTACCACAAAAACATGTGGTTTCCATTAAGAATGGAATGTATATCCAATCCCGGTGGAAACTAAACACTGCATACTTTCAGTCTCACTCCAACATACATTCTCTCCTGCAGTCTAAGTCTCTCTCTCTCCCACATCTTTAAAACATTATAATTCAAAAAATGCAATGATTTCAAATGATTATGTATACACAAAAAGTAATAAAACAGATACATAATGAATATTAATATTAACTTTACTCAACTCTTAAAGTGTTTAATACAACATGGTTCTAGTAGCCTACTTTTTCAGCGGATACCTCGTGTCTAAATCTGTGTTATCTTAATGTACCACAACAGTCATTAAAGAAAAATAGACACCAACCTGCTTAGTTCCTCGTGTTTTATTCTCCCGGGATCTGCTGTTTCACTCGAGTTCTCCTCAATCTCCTCTTTAAAGAGCAACTAAACCCCTGGTCAGAGCCTGACTCCACACACTGGCAATATTTGAAAAATGCTGAAAAAGTGGGCAGACCCCAGCGGAGATAGAGGGGAGGAGCCGAGGGCGGGGCTGAGAGGGGGGGTGGGCGTGCACCTTAGACCCGCAGTGACTGTCTGACAGCAGCCATCCAACATACCCTTTAAGAGGAGGTGCGCATGTTGCATGGCAGATTGTTATTATAACGGCGAGTTTGCCAGGAACGTTCAACGCCGATGAGACCGACGTTCTTGTCAGGACGGTGAAACACAGAGAAGTGATGTTGTATGGGGATGGGAGAAACTCTCGGACATCAGCATGGGTTAAACATTATATACTGTACGTATGTTTTTCTTGCCACTATTGGGCAAACAGGTCTGATCCTTCAGTTCTACAATTAGCCTTAAAAAAAATTGGGTAATTAGTTTTTTTCATCTTCATGTAAACCATAATGATTTCCCTCATGTGTTAATATTTTCCCTTTTTATAATGTATGATTTGCAAAAATAAAAACTGTTGCATCTGTGTTGATGAGAGAATCAAAGTGTATGCGCGTTGTGCACCTGCTACATTATGGGCAAGCATGCGCGCTTAAAATAGCATTATGAACAACGCGCAACTGACTTAGACCAGTTTTTTTTCAGGTCAGTGGCGCAATTGTGTTCTGGAAGTGTAAAATAGCACCAGGGAATGTTTGCGCCGAAACACGCCTCCTTTTTGCGCCGATCCGCCCAGGGAGCGCAAGTTCATTCCCTAGTTTATCGACGTGCATCTGCGGAGAAAAAAATCCCGCTTTGCGCGCGTGCAAAACAAGAATGAGACATGCGTTAGTGTATGAAGTCATTTGCGCCGGGTGCAAGATAGAGCCCGTAGTCTTACTTGCAATTTTGTAAATGAATCTGTTAATTCCCATAACCAACTAGCAAGGAAAATCCTTTCATCACAATATTTCTACCAGAAAGACTCGGGAGATAAAATGATGTAATAAAGCATCCATTTATTGACAGCCCAGCAGGCAATTATTTGCGAAGTTCTTTGGCGTAGGCCCCGTCCATAGATCGTAATCCGAGGGTAGCGGATCAGCATTTCTTGCCTGAAGACAAAGGCGGGCGTAGCCGACCCCCAGGGAAGTATAGACGGGACCCTCCTGGTGGTGGTGGGGAGGGTGGAGGTTGTTGTCGCGTCGGCATCTGCGAACTGAAACATGTGCAAGTACCGATCTTTTATACGACAACAATAAGAACGTGATTGGATAACCTGAAGGTAACAAGTAATGTGGTAATTAAGTCTTCCTAGCAGAACTTATGCTAAAGCTTTCATTGTGGTTGTCAAAACAAGTGGGAACTAAACAGAACTTCATTAATTGAGAGACAATATGTTATGTTTACATGACGGGTAGACTACTGTTATTTTAAGGGCTTGACACAAATTTCATGATTTTCATGATAAGGTTGCAATTTTATTTAATTTTTGTCAATATCGCACTCCGCTAATCTATAACACAAGTACTTAATCATTATCTAGCGCTAAGACAAAAATCGCTTTTATAAAGAGATAAAATAAGACAATCTTGATGATTTAATTGATAAGAAGTTCGTAGAAGTCTTCAAGATCACAAAATAAAATTGTCACAACGCCCACCCATACAATCTGTCCTGCCCCTCATCATGGCTGTCAGGAAACTAATTGGTTTCTCCACTAGGTGGATCAGTGATGCGCGTGTCGATGTATAAAAAACCCGCACCCGACCGACGCTTTCAACTAACCCGCCCGCAACTCGGACCGCAAAAAAAGTAAGAAAATATTGTACCCGACCCGCTTCCTGACCGCATTTTTTAAAAGTAGTAAATGCTCATCGTAGCGTCATTGGGCCATAGACGTATAACAACACAGCATCGCAAGAAGACGTACACATAACATAGCCAGCACTTTGGTCATCATCTTTCATTATTTCGGCAAATGTCTCCCACACTTTTACTCTTTCTGTTTGTGTATTTGCAGAATTTCCACTCCCCAGTCTTCACCTTTTCTCTTGCCGCCTCCATCTCTCTGCAGACTGTAGTGATCATAGACATGGCCGGTTCGTGAACGAATCGTTCTTTTGAACCGGTTCTTTTTAGTGAACCGGTTGAACCAGTACACCAAATCGAACTGAATCGTTCGAAACTGTTCGCGTCTTGCGTAAGTTACTTAAGTTACTCACTTTCAGACATGCCTGACAGTCCCTCCGAATCGAAATAAACCAATATCCTGAATTATATTTTACTCCAGTAACTCCAACAGTTCACTGAACTGAGACCAGTGTTGTAGTTGAGTCACCAACTGTCGAGTCCGAGTCGAGTCTCGAGTCCAAGTCCGAGTCACCAAAGAAGAGTCCAAGTCGAGTCACAAGTCCAGAGAGTCTCGAGTCCGAGTCCAGCACTCGAGTACTCCATCACTGACTGAGACATGTTGGTGCCACTGCATCCGCGTACTACCGAACGCACAGGTACGGTCTCGGATCACCAGTACAGAACCGAGAACTGACTGAGCTTGTGTGTCATATTCGTGCCAGTTATTCAGCCAATAAAGTGTAGGGTTGTATATTTCATAGAAAATTGTTTCTTGTAGCCTACTATATAAATACAAAGGTTTAATTGGCATCTTATTTCAAACGACCCGACCGACCGCGACCCGAATATCATTAAAAATATTTTTGGATGACTCGTAACCGCGGGTGACCGCTCATTTTGGATCAACCCGCGCATCACTGGTGTGGATCTTCATGTGTATCTTCAGCTGACTTTTAATAGAGAAACTCTTTCCACACTGATCACACGTGTGCGGCTTCTCTCCAGTGTGGATCATCTCATGCGCTTTCAGATGTCCTGACTGACTGAATCTCTTGTCACAGTGTGAACACTTGTAAGGTTTTTCTCCAGTGTGGATCTTCTCATGTGTTTTCAGAGTTGATGAATGACTGAATCTCTTGTCACAGTGTGAACACTTGTAAGGTTTTTCTCCAGTGTGGATCTTCTCATGCGCTTTCAGATTTCCAGACAGATTGAATCTCTTGTCACAGTGTGAACACTTGTAAGGTTTTTCTCCAGTGTGGATCTTCTCATGTGTTTTCAGAGTTGATGACTGACTGAATCTCTTGTCACAGTGTGAACACTTGTAAGGTTTTTCTCCAGTGTGGATCTTCTCATGTGTTTTCAGAGTTGATGACTGACTGAATCTCTTGTCACAGTGTGAACACTTGTAAGGTTTTTCTCCAGTGTGGATCTTCTCATGCGCTTTCAGATTTCCAGACAGATTGAATCTCTTGTCACAGTGTGAACACTTGTAAGGTTTTTCTCCAGTGTGGATCTTCTCATGTGTTTTCAGAGTTGATGAATGACTGAATCTCTTGTCGCAGTGTGAACACTTGTAAGGTTTTTCTCCAGTGTGGCTCCTCTGGTGCCGTTTTAAATGTTCAGCTGTAATAAAAGTCTTCTCACACTCAAAGCACATGAACTCTCTCACACCAGTGTGTATTTTCTCATGTCTATGTAAACTTTGCAGCAGTGAAAAACTCTTTCCACACACAGAACATGAATACGGCTTCTCCTTCGTATGAACTCTCAGATGTGTCTTCAGGTCTGATGACTCAAAAAATGTTTTGCCACAGTGATCACATGAGAACGGCTTCTCTCCAGTGTGGATCTTCTCATGTGTTTTCAGAGTTGATGACTGACTGAATCTCTTGTCGCACTGTGAACACTTGTAAGTTTTTTCTCCAGTGTGGATCTTCTCATGTGTTTTCAGAGTTGATGACTGACTGAATCTCTTGTCGCAGTGTGAACACTTGTAAGGTTTTTCTCCAGTGTGGATCCTCTGGTGCTGTTTTAAATCGCTGCTTGTAATAAAAGTCTTCTCACACTCAAAGCACATGTACTCTCTCACACCAGTGTGTATTTTCTCATGTCTATGTAAACTTTGCAGCAGTGAAAAACTCTTTCCACACACAGAACATGAATACGGCTTCTCCTTCGTATGAACTCTCAGGTGTGTCTTCAGCTCTGATGACTCAAAAAATGTTTTGCCGCAGTGATCACATGAGAACGGCTTCTCTCCGGTGTGGGTCTTCATGTGATAATTAAGATTTTGTTTGTGAGCGAATCTCTTTTCACACCAATTACACATATACTGCTTCTCTCCAGTATGAACTCTCATGTGAATATCAAGACATGGTTTTTGTGCGAAACTCTTCCCACACTGATCACATGTGAACGGCTTCTCTCCAGTGTGGATTCTCATGTGAAGCCTAAGATTTTGTTTGTTTGAGAATCTTTTTTCACATTGATCACAAGAGAACGGCTTCTCTCCGGTGTGGATCCTCATATGAATCTCTAGACTATATTTGGTTGTGATACTCTTTCCACACTGAGTGCAGGTGAAAGATTTCTTGGCTCTTCTTTTCTTTAAAAATTTCTTTTTAGTCTTTGAGCGACTCAAAGGTTTTCCTCCAAGTTGGACATGATGTTCCTCCTCCTCTTCACTCAGTTCTTCTCTCTCCTCCTTCACTTCTCTCAGATCTTCTCTCTCCTCCTTCACTTCTCTCAGTTCTTCTCTCTCCTCCTTCACTTCTCTCAGTTCTTCTCTCTCCTCGCGCTCTTCCATCAGGTCTGACATGAAAGAAAAATATGAATTTAATTTTTAGTAGATCAAAATAATTCAAATAGAGAAATATGAAGTGAAAGGACATACAAGTGAGCTCTGATGTAATAGTCAACTGCTATAAAATACTACAATTTTTTTTTATCAAATAAGTATCTTTCCATGAATGTGCAGCAATACACAAATCATAATCATAAACAATGACGCGTTAGTGAATGGTGACATGAGAAGTACAAAAGATCACAGGATCAATAACATTCTCTGCTTTGCCCGCCTGGAGAATTTTGTTATTGTTCTTAATAAAAATCATCAAAATGATACATTTACAATTGTATATACAACTAGAAAAAAAAGTTTGATGACAAACTTTAAGTTGGCTTGAGAAAGCCGGACCAGAGCGTTTGAAGTTTTGAAGTTTGAATGAAGTTTTAAAGATAGATTAGAAAGAAAGAAAGAAAGATGGATAGATTAGTTAGAAAGAAATATAGATAGATAGATAGATAGATAGATAGATAGATAGATAGATAGATAGATAGATAGATGTTTTCGGCAAGAATCTAACATGATTAGCATGTAGCTAGCTTGATGCTAATTTGATTAGCATGTAGTTAAGATGATTAGCATGTTGTTAGCATGATTAGCATGTAGCTAGCATCATAATAGCATGATTAGCATGTTGCTAGCATCATGCTAACGTGTTTTTATCAAGAAGCTAGCATGACTAGCATGTAGCTAGCATCATGCTAACCTGATTAGCATGTTGCTAGCATCATGCTAGCATGTTTTAGCAAGAAGCTAGAATGATTAGCATGTAGCTAGCATCATGCTAGCATGATTAGCATGTTGCTAGCATCATGTTAGCATGTTTTTAGCAAGAAGCTAGCATGATTAGCATGTAGCTAGCATCATGCTAGCATGATTAGCATGTTGCTAGCATCATGCTAGCATGTTTTTAGCAAGAAGCTAGCATGATTAGCATGTAGCTAGCATCATGCTAGCATGATTAGCATGTTGCTAGCATCATGCTAGCATGTTTTTAGCAAGAAGCTAGCATGATTAGCATGTTGCTAGCATCATGCTAGCATGTTTTTAGCAAGAAGCTAACATGATTAACATGTAGCTAGCATCATGCTAGCATGATTAGCATGTTGTTAGCAAGAAGCTAACATGATTAGCATGTAGCTATCATCATGTTAGCATGATTAGCATGTTGCTAGCATCATGCTAGCATGTTTTTAGCAAGACGCTAGCATGATTAGCATGTAGCTAGCATCATGCTAGCATGATTAGCATGTAGCTAGCATCATACTAGCATGTTTTTAGCAAGAAGCTAGCATGATTAGCATGTAGCTAGCATCATGCTAGCATGATTAGCATGTTGCTAGCATCATGCTAGCATGTTTTTAGCAAGAAGCTAGCATGATTAGCATGTAGCTAGCATCATGCTAGCATGATTAGCATGTAGCTAGCATCAAAATAACATGATTAGCATGTAGCTAACATCATGCTAGCATGTTTTTAGCAAGAAGCTAGCATGATTACCATGTAGCTAGCATCATGCTAGCATGATTGGCATGTTGCTAACATCATGCTAGCATGTTTTTAGCAAGTAGCTAGCATGATTAGCATGTAGCTAGCGTCATGCTAGCATGATTAGCATGTAGCTAGCATCATGCTAACATGTTTTTAGCAAGAAGCGAGCATGATTAGCATGTAGCTAGCATCATGAAAGATGTTAGAAAGATGGATAGATTTGTTAGAAAGAAAGATGGATAGATTAGTTAAGTAGAAAGAAAGACTGATAGATTAGTTAGGTAGAAAGAAAGATGGATAGATTAGTTAGGTAGAAAGAAAGATGGATAGACTAGTTAGAAAGAAAGATGGATAGATTTGTTAGAAAGAAAGACTGATAGATTAGTTAGGTAGAAAGAAAGATGGATAGATTAGTTAGGTAGAAAGAAAGATGGATAGACTAGTTAGAAAGAAAGATGGATAGATTTGTTAGAAAGAAATATGGATAGATTAGTTAGAAAGAAAGAAAGATGGATAGATTAGTTAGGTAGAAAGAAAGATGGATAGATTTGTTAGAAAGAAAGATGGATAGATTTGTTAGAAAGAAAGAAAGATGGATAGATTTGTTAGAAAGAAAGAAAGATGGATAGATTTGATAGAAAGAAAGATGGATAGATTAGTTAGAAAGAAAGATGGATAGATTTGTTAGAAAGAAAGAAAGATGGATAGATTTGTTAGAAAGAAAGAAAGATGGATAGATTTGTTAGAAAGAAAGATGGATAGATTTGATAGAAAGAAAGATGGATAGATTTGATAGAAAGAAAGATGGATAGATTTGTTAGAAAGAAAGATGGATAGATTAGTTAGAAAGAAAGATGGATAGATTAGTTAGAAAGAAAGATGGATAGATTAGTTAGAAAGAAAGATGGATAGATTAGTTAGAAAGAAAGATGGATAGATTAGGTAGAAAGAAAGATGGATAGATTTGTTAGAAAGAAAGAAAGATGGATAGATTTGTTAGAAAGAAAGATGGATAGATTTGATAGAAAGAAAGATGGATAGATTTGTTAGAAAGAAAGATGGATAGATTTGTTAGAAAGAAAGATGGATAGATTAGTTAGAAAGAAAGATGGATAGATTAGTTAGAAAGAAAGATGGATAGATTAGTTAGAAAGAAAGATGGATAGATTAGTTAGGTAGAAAGATGGATAGATTAGGTAGAAAGAAAGATGGATAGATTTGTTAGAAAGAAAGATGGGTAGATTAGTTAGAAAGAAAGATGGATAGATTTGTTAGAAAGAAAGATGGATAGATGTGTTAGGTAGAAAGAAAGATGGATAGATTTGTTAGAAAGAAAGATGGATAGATTTGTTAGAAAGAAAGATGGATAGATTTGTTAGAAAGAAAGATGGATAGATTAGTTAGAAAGAAAGATGGATAGATTAGTTAGAAAGAAAGATGGATAGATTTGTTAGAAAGAAAGATGGATAGATTTGTTAGGTAGAAAGAAAGATGGATAGATTTGTTAGGTAGAAAGAAAGATGGATAGATTAGTTAGAAAGAAAGATGGATAGATTTGTTAGAAAGAAAGATGGATAGATTAGTTGGGTAGAAAGAAAGATGGATAGATTTGCTAGAAAGAAAGATGGATAGATTTGTTAGAAAGAAAGATGGATAGATTATTTAGAAAGAAAGAAAGATGGATAGATTTGTTAGAAAGAAAGAAAGATGGATAGATTTGTTAGAAAGAAAGAAAGATGGATAGATTTGTTAGAAAGAAAGAAAGATTAGGTAGATAGATAGATAGATAGATAGATAGATAGATAGATAGATAGATAGATAGATCATTAGTACATATAGAATGGTAGTTTAATTGAGTCTAGGGCTTCAGGGAATTTAGATTTGAGTTTTTGTTGTACGCTATTGGGCCACCGTAGTCTTGGCTCAATTTGACCATGCTGCAATGAAAGTCAATGGGATTTTTATGATTTTTAATATTAATTTTTAAGAAATCTGAAAGTCGAATCAGTCTAAAAAGATATAGCACACTAAGTCAGAACAGTCTGAAGGTCTGACCCGAGTTTGGAGTTTGTAGAGTTAAAGCTCTAGGAGGAGTTAGAGTCAGAAAATTTTGGGTAAGAAAAATAAGAAGAAGAAGAAGAACTAGAATGTACATTTCCAGAGGAAAATGTGAAGTGGTGCTTGCAGTGGCAAAACTCACCACCCGGTTGCTAGGGTGTTATGGCTGGTTGCTATGGTGGTTGCTAGGTGGTTTCTAGGGTGTTGCTAGGTGGTTGCTAGGGTGTTCTGGGTGGTTGCTAGGGTGTTGATAGGTGGTTGCTAGGGTGTTCTGGGTGGTTGCTAGGGTGTTGCTAGGTGGTTGCTAGGGTGTTCTGGTTGGTTGCTAGGGTGTTGCTAGGTGGTTACTAGGGTGTTGCTAAGGTGTTCTGGATGGTTGCTAGGCGGTTGCTAGGGTGTTGCTAAGGTGTTCTGGATGGTTGCTAGGTGGTTGCTAGGGTGTTGCTAGGTGGTTGCTAGGGTGTTCTGGGTGGTTGCTATGGTGTTGCTAGGTGGTTGCTAGGGTGTTTTAGGTGGTTGCTATGGTATTTTGGGTGGTTGCTATGGTGTTACTAGGTGGTTGGTAGTGTTCATATATGGTTACTATAGAGTTTTTATAATGTTCATGGCATGATTTAGCACTTAGCTAATCAATATTAGCATGTAGCTATTCACTGTTAGCATGTGTAGCATGTAGCAAGTCATGTTTGCTAGCATGAGTCAAAAGACCCAACCCCCATCGCGATACAATGTTCTGATGCTGAGATATAGCTGTTACAAAATGGTTGCTAGGGTACTCTTTTTGGTTGCTAGGGAGTGGCTTGGCAGCTGCCAATCATGAAGCTCCAAAGTCAATGTGAATGGATAAACCAACCCCCATCTCTATACGATGTTTTGATGCAGAGATATAGGTCTTGCAAACGGTTGCTAGGGTACTCTGTTTGGTTGCTAGGGAGTGGCTTGGCAGCTTCCAATCATGAAGCTCCAAAGTCCATGTGAATGTATAAACCAACCCCCATCTCTATACGATGTTCTGATGCAGAGATGTAGGCCTTGCAAAATGGTTGCTAGGGTACTCTTTTTGGTTGCTAGGGAGTGGCTTGGCAGCTGCCAATCATGAATCTCCAAAGGCTGCTTGTCAGTTTACCATAGTAGGAAAAACACATGCATTTGATGGGACGACCTTCACCATAGTAAGTCAATGGGGAAACTTTGGGGGCCACCTGCCCCCCAGGGGTGCAACTTTTACCCCTTTGTGAGGTATATTCTTACAGAGCCTGTCAGCCTCTTCAAATGTGGTAAATCCCAGGTTTCTGCGAAATCCTTGCTCTGAGCTACGAGTGGTCAAAGTTCATCGCAATGTTAAGTCAA